GGCCCCAGACATTGCTTGCCTTGCCCCGTCCAACGCATTTCTTGGATGGCGGTGATGTCAGCTTTTGTCCTTACGAGGACATCAACCAGCCGGGACAGAGGCACCTTCCCCATTAAGGGTCCGCACATTCCAGGTGCATGCCCTCAAATCGTAGTCCTTCTAAACGTTTGCCGTGGTCGTACTAGCGGTCTCATCCGAGGCTTTGCCTTGCTTCTTTACTGGAAGTGGTTTTTACGTGGCGGGTCCCAGCCGTCCACCATGGGCGGGGGTGGTTTCGCTACAAAATACACGTTTATATAGCGAGCCGATTGCTCCAAGCAGACACCCGCTTGCTCCAAGCAGACACCCGCTTGCAGCCGCACCTACTGGTGAACAGACGCTGCAGACTTCAGTAAGCCCTTAAACCGAATAAGTCGGAGTGGCCCCACCGAAGCTCCCTCTCTTTCTGCCGTGACCCAAGGCTCCACTCGGATTGGTTACCGCATCTCGCACATGGGTTGCTCACGTTGCCCAGAGTGCGCGAACGAGGACGCAAGAGTCGGGATTGAGTATAGCCATGCAACTGTAACTGCATACCCAGCGCAACGACTATACCCCATTGCACTTTCTTCATGTTGTAGTTGTATTTAAATTCGACTAAGTCTTTATTGGCTAATCTACCGACATTTGTGCAGAGCTGAATTTCGAAAGAAAATAAGTTAGGAGCTTTCTATATTAAGGTAACGATATGTAATTATATTAATTTGATATAAAAATACACCTTACCTGGCGAAAACTGCATTTAATAGAACTAAATCTATATTTTTATACATTGATGCATATGTATGCACATGCCGTGGAGAATTGATCCCCCATCTACCGACATACTTATTTCTGAAGTTATTCACTTTTATGTATGTAATATTTAGAGTTATTCCTCTATATGAGCAAAATCGGACTATAAAGAGGGGGTTTTCAAATAACTCGACTCCCTTTTTTAACAAAACAACTTATCACAACTAAAGCACAGAGAATTTTTCACAATGCATGAACCTTTTTTTATTCTTTATAAAAATACTAGTAATACTATACTAAATATATGAAAAAACATAAAAAAAATTGTTAAACTTTGTGCTAAACTCGGCAAAATTCAATAAATTTGCGTTCCAATTTGCAACATTCTAATCAGACTTTTTATACAAATTTTTAAAATGAAGTTTTGCAGCCCATTAAATTTTAGTTGATTTTTGGTATTGTTTTTACTGAGAGTTTCTTCCATACAAACTATGTTCGATAATTCTTTTTATATGGAGGACACTGTCAGCAAAAAAAAAAAGCTAAAAATCAACGAAATTTGCTGGCAACTTCAGACTTGCGCTTTATTAATTGGCCCAAAAGCTACATTTTCAAAATTTTTCTAAAAGATCTGATTAGAAATTGTGATCTGATGAAAGAGCCTCCGAGCCAATAATTTTGTACGGCACTGTACTCTAGGTTTCATGAAAGAAAAAAACTTAAGTACAAGATAACATTAAAATATCAGTCATATTATTCGTTGCTGTGAACTTGTTGCAAAACTTCTGTATTTTCCTTAATATAATTGTAAAACTCTGTGCACGCATTTTGAACGTATTTAGGTACATATACGAATCATCAACTATTGCTTGTGCAAAGTTCAACTATCTCGAAATGTGAATATTTCACAAATTAAACCGGTGCACTGAGAAAAAGAAGTTTAGAATTAAAAAATCGTGCTAAATTAAAAAAAATACGCATATGAAAGAGCGCCAACCCAACTCGTAATACATTTAAGTATACAAATTTTAGTATTTGTATAGAAATATTCACTTCAAATACGTCCATATTAAAATGAAGCGATTTGCAATTACTGATTGCTTTTTCATAATTAAGTTAAAAAAATATTTAAATTCCATCCTGGTTGTAATAGAAATTGAGCCCTGACCCTCTGGAGATTAGCAAATTGTGTCAAGCATCTTCGCGCACTCAGCTACAGCCAGACATGTAAATGTGCATTTAAATGCTGCGTTTGAATCAACACCACGCGTGCGTGTTATGAAAGTATTATTTTTAAATACGAACATTTTTAAACGATAATCAAATAGAAAATATTCATGTTTACTATGCGTTATTTCCCTCAGTGAATTCATAACATTTTTCTGAATATTACAACGCGTTTTTTCGCTTAGTGTAGTGATTTTTGAACTTTTATTCAAATTTGTGGAATCAAATGAAAAACCGGGACACTAAACGAAACCCGGGACATTTTAAGGTTGGACCGGGACATCGGGACAAATAGTCTAAAACCGGGACATGTCCGGGAAAACCGGGACGTCTGGCAGCCCTACTGTAGCCTAAACCAAACAATATAAGACGGACCCCCCTAATACTTATTTGTATACGCACACATGCGTGCACATTTATGTAGTAGGAAATGATCAGAAAGTTCATACAGTTTTCCCGCCAAATTAACCATCGTCAAGTTTCCCCTCCAAATAGTTGTACTGTATGGAGGGTGAACTTAATTTTACTGCAAACAGCGCGGACACTTCTTTTCTGGAGATCAACAGGGAACGACCATCAGCCACCATCCTACGTCACAATCACTTGAGGTAATATTCAGTGTATACCTTCCCTTTATATATATATACAATAAACATTACATATACTCGATGGAGAACTAATTCGTGGCTTTATTTATTTCTTCGTTTTTTCCTTTAAAAAACATTGGTGCAACATACCGCGAACCACTGAGCTGTCAAGCAAGCAGTATTGTTGCATCTTTGTCCACCTCTAGGGTATAAACAATTATATATCATTAGAAAGGTATCTTGATGCTGATGTACAGGCAATTTTTCAAATTTCAAATTAGTTTAACATAAAGCGAAAAAATCAATTCAAAAGTGACACCAATACGAATGCCCTACATGTACATGGTTGGGGCGGAAATGCCTCCTAAATGTATGCTTTAATATTGATACTGAATTACAGAAGCGTGCTAAGTAGCAGTTTAGGAATCAGATTTATGAAGATTAAGATTCATGCAAGGAAGAAGGTAAAGTTGAATATGTAGAAGAAGAAAGGGATAAAGGCAAAGATTAGAGTAAAAGTAAAGAAACGTAAATATAAACGAAGATGAATATGAAGATGAAGATGAAGATGAAGATGAAGATGAAGATGAAGATGAAGATGAAGATGAAGATGAAGATGAAGATGAACATGAAGATGAACATGAAGGGGAAAATAAACATANGCGTTTTTTCGCTTAGTGTAGTGATTTTTGAACTTTTATTCAAATTTGTGGAATCAAATGAAAAACCGGGACACTAAACGAAACCCGGGACATTTTAAGGTTGGACCGGGACATCGGGACAAATAGTCTAAAACCGGGACATGTCCGGGAAAACCGGGACGTCTGGCAGCCCTACTGTAGCCTAAACCAAACAATATAAGACGGACCCCCCTAATACTTATTTGTATACGCACACATGCGTGCACATTTATGTAGTAGGAAATGATCAGAAAGTTCATACAGTTTTCCCGCCAAATTAACCATCGTCAAGTTTCCCCTCCAAATAGTTGTACTGTATGGAGGGTGAACTTAATTTTACTGCAAACAGCGCGGACACTTCTTTTCTGGAGATCAACAGGGAACGACCATCAGCCACCATCCTACGTCACAATCACTTGAGGTAATATTCAGTGTATACCTTCCCTTTATATATATATACAATAAACATTACATATACTCGATGGAGAACTAATTCGTGGCTTTATTTATTTCTTCGTTTTTTCCTTTAAAAAACATTGGTGCAACATACCGCGAACCACTGAGCTGTCAAGCAAGCAGTATTGTTGCATCTTTGTCCACCTCTAGGGTATAAACAATTATATATCATTAGAAAGGTATCTTGATGCTGATGTACAGGCAATTTTTCAAATTTCAAATTAGTTTAACATAAAGCGAAAAAATCAATTCAAAAGTGACACCAATACGAATGCCCTACATGTACATGGTTGGGGCGGAAATGCCTCCTAAATGTATGCTTTAATATTGATACTGAATTACAGAAGCGTGCTAAGTAGCAGTTTAGGAATCAGATTTATGAAGATTNCATAAACATTAAAAGCGATAGAGACAAAGATAGAGAGGAAGAAAGTGATAGGGATAAAAAGGAAATACAACTGAAGAATGTGCGATGCTATATTGTGGTGTGTTATGCTACATATGTTATGTTATTTAATCTTATGTTGTGGTATGTTATGTTATGATATGTTATGTTAAGTACTAAGCTAAACTCCCCTCCACTTAACCCATTTACACTAATGTTATTTCAGCTCAACTCAACTCACATTAACTATCCTTTATTTTAGCGGTTGAATTTCAACCGCTGGGCGAACACTAGTATGTATAAATAAACTGTTTTAGTATGTTCATCTAATTTCTTAATTCCATTTTGAGCGATAATTTATTTGGATTCGAGAAATTTAAGCACTGGTTTTATGTAGCTTGACTTCCATCTGCGAAACCTACTCAAGTAAAAATTTTGCCATCGGAAACAACTTCTTTTGTTTTCGCCGGTTTCACATTGATTTTGAAGCAGACTAAAAAAAAGTTTCTTGGTTAAAGTTAAAAAATAACTTCTTTCGTATTGTCATATTAATGTTTCACATCGAAAATTTTTCTGATATTTTTTTTTGAAAAAATATACATAGATACATAGATATGTATGTGTGTCCTCGTTACAAAACTAAACTCACCTTTGACGCCGAAAGTAGACGCCAACACTGCTTTCATAAAGTCACGTTCAAATTTAGTGTTGAGTGAATTTTCCAGTTTTACTAAATTGTAGTTGGTTTTAATTGTTTAGTTTCTCTTTCAAGGTTTTGAGCAGAGGATTTGTTTATTTTGTTTCACTTGATTGTATTTCACCTTCTGTAATCAACAATTTTTCTTCTTTATTCCTCCTCTTCTTCACCACATTACATTTGAGATTAGAAACAACTTTAATTACATATTTTTTTTAGTATTTATTTAGTATGCATTTGATTTTTTTCTTCCTCCCACTATACACTGCTAAATACAAAATTTTATCTCAACTTTACCCACAAAGCTAAATATAGTATTTTTGCTTATATGTAAATGTTTTTACGCAGGCAATTATATATTCGTCATATTTACACATATGTACTATTTATGTATTTGGCATTTAAACATAATTTATGTATGTCACAATGTCGCATCTGAAATGTGGCGTAAAAGAATTTCGTTTCTGATCAAAATCAAAATTCTGCAAAATACTTATTTGCAATTTACAATGTTACAATTTGCAAATTTTCGCTTATTTGCGCTTTACTTGCAAATTGTAGTCGAAAATTTGTGGGTTATTGTCGCAAAAATAAATGCAACGCATGTATATGCATATGTACATTGCATATTAGCTTATTTTCAATTATTTTCACTATTTCCTTTTTTAAAAATTGCGTGCAACTAAATTTCACCACCACAACAACAACACTAACGCTCAAATTTAAATTCGCTGCTGTTGCGGCTGGGTGAAGTAGTTAGTATTTTTTATTTTGCTTTTGTCGCTGCTCATTGCGAAAAATTGCTGCACTTGTTGGCAGTTTGGCGATGGCTAGCTGCGCAGTATGTAGTACATACATACATATGTATTAGCAATGCCAGCAGAAACGGAACCGTGCCAGCCAAGAAGTGGCATACACAGACGGGCCTAAAAGGTGCACGCATACACTCTCGCTCACTCACGCGTGCATTAACGCCGAAACTCAGTCCCCCATGGGCCAGAAGCAGCGTTGCCATTTTAGCCGTTTTCCGGCTAGATTTAGCCGGTTTTGATAGCAACTAGCCGGAGAAAATTCGATCTAGCCGGCAGCCGATTTGTTAGCCGGTCTGTAAAAAAAAGTTAGCCGTTTTTAGCCGATTTTACTATTTGCCTAATTTTCAGGTGCAAAAAGTAAACAAGTTGTTCGTAAGCAATAATGCATACCCAATGAAGATTTTTAATGAACTCAATGTTTTACTTTCGCATCTATGCTCCCTAGTGGTTATTAGCGCGGACACATTTGATCCTATATGCTCCCCGTTGCTCCATTTCGTCAGTTTTATCACAGTTTTGAAGAGTATTTAAAAACAAAAGTAAGCACAAACGCTTTTGACCACGAAGCCGAGAAAATAATTCGAGAAAATGGTCGCTATTTTATTATCACTTTAATAAAGGAATTACGCCAAATATTGCCACATTAAAAAAATTGACTTTTTTCGGTTGGAAATGCATTAAGAGTAATTAAACCAGAAGTATTTGTTCAACTACAGCAACAAAAACAAATATAATGCCGACGAAATAACATCCATAGAGATGCAATGGCAACGGTTAACGTTACATACCTGGAGTAATTTAGACTCAACTGTAAAATTTTGGGCCGAAGTTTATCAATTTCGAAATGCCCTAGGAGAAAACCCTTTTGCTGACCTTTCCAACCTAGCTTTTAGTTTTCTTGTTTTGCCTATAAGTAATGCAGAAGTAGAGCGAATATTTAGTTCAATGAATACAATAAAAACTAAGCAAAGAAATCCAATGTGCGTTAAAACGTTAAACGCTATTTTATACATATATAAGATACGGTTTAAAACTTGAAGAAAAATGCTGCCCTAATTTTACTGTAGATGACGATCTCTTAAAATTAATGAATTCAGGTGAATATAAATATACAATAGTGATTCATTTGATGATGAGGAATATACACTCGATATAAATTAATGGTGTTAACTAGTCTTTCGTTTCTTGTGATTTATTTAAATAAAGCATGTGAATTTTCACTAAAACATTTTAGCCGCTTTTTTTGCCAATCTAGCCGGTCGGCCCAAAAAGTTCTGGCAACACTGGCCCAGAAGCCGCAACTGGCCAAGTTGAAGCGAAAATTGTTACTATCAGTTGCCTATGGGCTATATATGTATACATCGGTCATATCTATAGCACGCCATTTCAAAGTGATATTGTGCGCAACTTATGTTTATTTATTTATTTTTGAGAATTTTCAATTAAAATACAGTTCTTTCTCTAACAAACCCCATATAAATCCAAGTTTAACAATTTGTAGAAAACTTCAAAAAAGTGCAACAAATTTTCACCTAAATTTCAAACTTTTTTCTCGGAAGTGTTAGATTTTTATCGAGTATTATGTAAATATGTACATATGTACTGAGATTTTATGAAACTTCGTGCGAAATCGGTTAATTTCATCGACGAAATCGGGTAGAACTCAAAAATTAGTTGGCTTCCCTGGTGCCATATGTGCCTGTATTAAGGCTTGTTTTCATTATGTCAATTTCAGTAGAATTCAAATCGTCAAATAAGTGAAAACACATTGCCGAATAATGGTTTATCGATTGATTTACTTAGATAAGAAAAGGCCTTCAGTCGTGTACATGTGCTGCTAAATTGGCGATCTGTCCATTTTTAGGCCATAATATAATCGGTTATGGTATGGGAAAAGGAGATAAAGTTGTGTCAAAATATGTTGACAAAATTTGTTGTCAAAATATGATATAATGAAAACCAGCCTTTACGATGAGCATGCGATACACTGCGTTAGTGCTGCGTTGTTTTTTTCCCCGCAGCTTGAATGCTGAATATTTTAGGTGTCCGCCAACTGTGTTCATACCTGCACATCGTCGATGTTTTTGCAAAACCGCCCATCGACCAGTTGCAAAACCGTCTAAATCGCCGTTGTGGCAAAAATGAGATTTGGTAACCCTGAACTCCAGCATCGAGATTTATGCATAAAAGTCGTTAAATCGTTATTATAACAACAGATTTGTAAAATAATAGCTAGAGAAAATACCACCTATCAAGTAGAGCTGGAAAACTATCGATGGCACTATCGATAGTATCGATGGTTTTGTAAGCACTATCGATAATTTTCACTCATATATACATTATTTAGTAACATTCATATTTCAGAGCGCAGATGCTATTTGAAGCTAAAAGTCGTTGTTCCTTAAAAAAAATATCGTCATATTTTAGCAATTCTGATCTCGTTTTCAATAAAAGATGTTATGTTTAATTTTTGGACTGTTTTATTCAAAACTATCGATAGTGTCGACATTTTCGATAGTATCGATGCTATCGATGGTTGTGATCAGGGTTGTTGCGAATTTTGTTCCTAAATAAAAGTTCTTTCCGGATAATAAACAAACCGCTTATCCAAATTAAACAAGTTCGGTATCAAATGAAAGAGGATTTAAATAGCTTTAAAACTGAAATGTCTAAACGAAGAAAGCCACATATAGAAAAATATTTCAATAAAAAATTTTAATTAATTACCATAAAACAAATCATGTGTCAGGTATATGGATTTCTTTACTATTAAATTATAAAAAAATATAAATATAGGTCGTTCGCTATTTCTGTTTAATGCTATGATATCATACCAAATTTAATATTTCATATGATACCAAATTGGTTTAATTTGGACAGGCGGTTTGTTTATTATGCGAAAAGGACTTTTATTTCGGAAAAATATTCGCAACAACCCTGGTTGGGATTATCAACTATCGAAACCATCGATGACCACGACCATCGATAGTTTTCCAGCTCTACTATCAAGGCAATGCCTTCAAAGAATAAACCGTTTTTTCGCTTTCCCGCAAAATTTGAGTGCCTTAAGATAGGCGGTTTTGCACTTGGGCGATGGGCGGTTTTACAAAAACATCGACGATATGTATTTTGGTTGACACCGTGGTGTGAATGGTCGTGCTGCTGTAGCTCTTGCTTTTGTTGTTCAAATGCTATTTTTATGTTGCACTTGTAACAAAAAAATTAGGTTAAACGGCGCCTCAAAATGTTCTATTCAATCTACAATTTAACGCACATAAAATTTTTTTTGGCGAAAAGTAGTTGACACAGATTTTGCTCAAGTTTCTTGGCAATTTAGTGTTATGATCAGGCAAGACCAAAGGGTGAGCAAGTGCTTATACGAAGTATGATCGACAATTTTTTTTATATGGAGGAAAACGGACAATACCGTCAGCAAGAAAAAATTGCCAAAACTTGACAATATTTTGTAGGCACTTCAAACTTGCACTTTAGAATTGAATTTGCTAAGAAACTATGTGCCCGAAAACAGTGAATAAAAATTGCGAAAATTTGAAGAAACTGTTGATTTTTTTAAATTTTTTACAAAGTTTGAATCTTGGTTATATACGGTATTTTGTTAAGAATGAGCCCTTTTTTGGGTAAAAATATATGTTTTTCACCTTTCCGAAAGCTACTGCTACATGGTAAACCGGGGTGTATCCATTTTGAGTGAATTAGCGTCCTTAAATTTCGAAATATTGAAGTATCAAGCATTTCTGAAATATACTGTTAGATGAAAAGCGGCCGTAATTTTAGTTCGATTTCAATAATTTTCAACGTTTTGTTTCTATGTGGCAAGTACAATAACCACACCGAGTTTGGTACAAATTGGTAGAACGGTTACCGAGATACATATATGTGATCATAAGTGGGCGGTGCCACGCCCATTTTTCAAAATT